CAATTACAAATCCAACAGTATGTAAAGGGATCTGGTAGCACTTTTGAGATTAACAAAGTGAAAGAAGTTGTAACATAAGTTTTTCACAGACTTAGGAGTTTATCACACGGGAGGGATCCCATGCAAAAATGGGATTTAAACTGGAAAAAAACCTGAAAAGGCAGATTGATTTTCAGACGACATCTGACATTAACCCGGACAGAAAGTGGAAAAAAACCCAAAAAAAGCAGATTGATTTTCAGATGACGTCAGGGTTAATGAGCATTAATGTGACATTAACCTGGACAAAAAGTCAACAAAACATGCTGCTTTTTACTTTAGGAAAAACCCAAAAGTAAAAAGTGGTGCGTTTGTTAACTTTCTGTCCGGGTTAATGTTCCGTTAATGCTCATTAACTCCAATATGTCTGAAAATCAATCCACTTTTGCGGGATTTTTCCAGGTTTTAAATGCTGTTTTCTGCATGGGATTTGGGCACTTTGCCTCCTGCGTGATAAAGTCTATCTTGTCAGATAGCTGGGATGGGTGTATATGCAAATATTCCAAAATATGCAAATATTCCAAAATATCCAGTTTACTCCATGCTTCTGAGGAAGTACAGCAAGTCTATGAACATTCATTCTACAACTTATTTCGCTCAGTTAAATGCTGCAAGATCCCTTTGCATGCTGCAGAAGAATTCCTTTCCTTTTGCAGGGGCAAAAAAAACCTACCATAGTTATACATCCTTGCATGAGAGGATGAAATAGTCAAGGATGTACATCCTTAGGTATGCAGAAAGTGGATTCGAGGAGGTTTCTCTCCCACCAGAATCCAGGAGGTCTTCCGCTGGGGCTGAACAAATGTAAATTCAAGAGTGGCAAAATGAAGGATTTTGCAATGAAAAGATGAATTTACTGTTGGCATCTTATGAGAAGGCCATCCTGAGAATAACCATCATAACAGATTGAAGAAATGGGTCATTATTATTAACAACATCAAAAAAAAAATGCTGTGCTAACTACAAACATTTTTAGACACCCAGCAAATGATTAAAGGCAGTAGTTTATCTCACTTTCTGTGTAATTTGTTCCCCCAGGACTTTAAGAGATTTTTATTGCTCCGTATTTATCATTTGTATAGTGAATAATCAGTATTGATTTTATGATTAAATAATTCACTTGAAGAGCTGTGCAGGAGAATATTCTAGGGAAGGAGGCCTAAACATAACAAAATCCTGTTGTTAGTCCCATACAGAGTAGATTCCCTAAACATGTAGGATTTACCTAAGCGTTGCATCCCTATCCAACTATAGGTCTACATTACATGGAGTTAGCCAACAGGATTCAGGCCTTAATACTCTCCATCCTTCCAAAATACCAACAAAATACAAAAAAGTATTGGTTTCTTTGCTAGTTGATGGAGGAAGACCACCTGGGACAAGGTAAAGATGGAAAATTTGTGGCATTCCCTGCTGGGAAGTGTAACTCCCATCATCCACCAGGACATCAAAAGTGTGCACACTCTGCCTTACAGTTAGTTATATGGGTTGATTCTCCCTTATCTGTAATCCTTGGGACTAGAACTGTTTTGGTTTACTGAGTTTTTCAGAGTTTGGAATATTTGCATCTACATAATGAGATATCTTGGAGAAGGGACCCAAACTTAAAAACACAAAATTCATTTATGTTTCGTATACATTTTATATACAAAGCCTGAAGGTAGTTTTATATACAAGGTAATGGAGAGATTGGAGCAGTTGTGCAGAAAAGATCTATATTTCTAAAGGTTTACCTACACTGCAAAAATAACACAGTTTGACACAACTTTAACTGCCATGACTACCCTATGGAATCCTGGGATTTGTAGTTTGGTGAGGCACCAGAGTTCTCTGAAAGACCAGGTTAAATATCTCACCAAACTACAAATTAAAGCTACAGGAGCACTCTCCAGTTTTCACTCTGGGAATCCTAGCTCCCTACACCCTAAAGAAGAGGGGCTTTCCCCACATTTACCATCTTTTAGAGTATTATTTCAGATGTG